TGTGAAGTGGTATAATAAGGTGAGCAATATTGAGGTTAGGCGTCGACGAGTTCTAGGTAAGTTGGAGGGAAAATCAATCGACGAGGTTGTGAAGTTACAAAGACTGAGGTGGTTAGGACATGTGTTACGTATGCCTAGTCATCGCCTCCCTCGACCAACGGGCAATGTTAGCGGATATAGGGTCAGGCTGGAAAAAAGCTAGCGGAGGTCAAACAAAAACTTGGCACCAGTCAATGAAATCTACAACAGTTAGTCTAAGCCACGTAGGAAAGTGTAGACTTCCGGACTGGTTGGGGTCCTCGGGACGGTAAAAACCAATGGTTGGAAACAATTGGTGACATGGCTCAAAATCGTTCTCAGTGATGGCTAGCGCAGATGCATTCACTCCTTGTGACTTATGATTCTCAATGAAACTGTTTTGTTCTTCGTTATTACTCCTCCTTTGTCTCACACCTCTGCTTACTGTCTCTTTTATGCATTTCTTTTACTTTCTTCTCTTGCTTTGTGTGCTACACGGAGGAGTGTGGCGACTTGAACTGGTGCACATTTGTGCAAAGTTCTATGTCGAAAACAGACAGACAGACTTCAGTGAATTGAAGTATGCGCTGAAGATGTCGACTAGTAGAGGGGGCGAGGAAAGCTTCGCAAATTAAATATCCAGTTCAAAGAACACAACCACATCAAAATGTGTATGTGCAAATTATAATTCTAACATTATGGCAAACAGACGTATTCTGACGATACGTATACATCAAACTGCCCCTAAGTAATTCAGTGTCACCAAAATCTCTTGTATTCTGTCGTACATTACGACAACTACTACTAATCCATCTGATATGATTCTGTGTCCTATGTCCCTCTATAATTATGTTAGTGTCTAACACACACCAGGGGCATACATAAATGCGTATTCGATAGATAAAGACCAATAATTTTTATAAAAGATTGATGTTGTTATATGCACTCTATGATAGCTGTAGTATTCTATCCTTTGCACTAGACCTCCTCTCTCTCTCTCTCACCCTCCTACCACCATATGTAAAAAGAAAGATGCAGGAAAGAATGACAGTTGGCATAGTATACTACTAGATTCAGTGTATATGATAATAATAATGCCCGTCTCCATCCTTTTAAACGTGACAACTGGTATATGTGTGAGTCACATGATATATATATGTGAATTCAGAGGACTAGAGATAGGAAATAGTTCAACTGTAAGAATAGTATGAATTTACAACAACAATATGAAGAGGAAATAATCAATAAGTGGGGAATGGGAATTATGCGAAGAGAAAAGACGATAAGATTACAGAAATAGCGTAAATTCAAGTGTTGGTTTGTAAGGATTTGTTTGATTGGTTACAGGATTTCATCATGAGTTGACATTAATTAAAGAACCATTGGAAAACCAGCTGGGAGTACTCGACAGCTGTTTCGTCCTAGTTTGGGACTCTTCATCAGTAGACACCTTCATCGCGAGGTTCCAGGACCTTCTGGTTACAAGGGGAGTTAGCTCGTATACCATTAACCCACTCGGACCCCATCCAATGGCTCATGAATTCTAACTTCTGCCAATTCACGATAAAGCGCAACCGCTAGCTAATGTCTTCGGCGAGTATTTTTCCTTACACCCGACCTCCTGAGCCCTGTAACTAAATCAAATCCCTACAAACACACACTTGAATATCAATGAGATGTTCACTAGCGACTTGCTTTATTCAGGTAGGTAGTTACCTAGGGTTCTAGTGAGAAGTCGTGACCAGTAGGGTGCAGCAGGTCGCGTGTGGGGACAAATACTCGCCGAAGATATCAGCTAGGGGTCGCGGTGTGACGCGAATTGGCAGAAGTTAGAATTCATGGACCGGAAATTGGATCGGGTCCCAGTGGTTTAATGGTATAGGAGCTCGCTAGCCTTGAAACCAGAAGGTTCTGTGTTCGGACCCCCTGTGGTGGGTGCGTAATGCTGAAGAGTCCCAAGCTAGGACGAAACAACTGACCTGTACTCCCAGCTAGTTTTCCAATAGTTCTCTAACTAATGTCAGCTCATGATGAAATCTTGTAATCAATAACGCCAATCAAGACATTTTTGTGACCTAGACTCATAAACGTATAATAGTTTTTCAAGACACGAAACACTACTACGACTACTTTGAGATACACACAGCGCTTGACTAGAATTTTCGGATCGCTGCTAATGCTTCAGTTATGCTAAGAGACTGACTCTTCATCTCACTTCCTTTGACAGGTGTGATCCGATCTTTTTTGCAGGACTTTAAAGGATTTCAATAGAACGAAAATATTCATTCAGACAACTATAAAACACATCAGTAAAACACACAAAACACAACAACAATAAAAATCAGATTGCATTTGTATTTTCAGGGCATGAAGCTGAGGAGGAAGCAAAGAACATCCTGTCTGGATAAATTTAACGAGGTAGGTTCATCCTGCAATAAATTTTACTGTTGAGAAAGAAAAAGACTCCAGTATTTCATTTTTAGACATTCTTATGACCAGAAAAGAGGATGGCACAATAAGAAGAAGTGGATATAGAAAACCTACATCCACAGCTTCGTGCCCCTGAAACACAAACGCAATCTGATAAAGTGATTGGTTCACAGAGCAAGGGCAATTTGCCAGGATGAATGTCTTGATGAGGAACTTAATAATATTACTACACGGTTGCTGAGTGAAAATGGTAATCCAGAAAAGTTGATTGATAAGAATATGAATCTAAAATCAAAGGAGCCCAATGTACCACCACTTCCAAAAAAGGCCTTATTCTTATAAATGCAGTCCCTTGGGGACAACATCAGCGAGATACTAACACGAAGCCTTGCAAATGCGGTGAAGCTGAGAGCAATCGCTGCTGCTGAATTACACTGTGTCTTCAAAGCCACTCCTCTTTTGCTCTCGGGAGTTAAAGACAAACTGCCTAATTTGCCTCTTGCATGTGGATCTACTAAAATTTAACTGCTCCTGGAGCCAGTTACACAGGCCGTACAATTAGGCGTGTTTCTCGTCAAATTTCCGAACATCACCCTGCAAAGTGGTTTAGTAAAAAACAAACAAAATCTATTCGTAGCGCTATTCTATCTTATCTTGTGGATACAGAACACAAGATTGACGTTAACCAGGCTTTCAAGGTCATTTACCACATACCTACGAATCTCAATTTCGCCTTAGGAGTTCGACTACTAAATATTGCTGAGGCTGGCTGTTGGGATTCATATTAACAAGCCTCATTTGTGCATCCAAAAGAAGTTAGTTCAGACATTATCCTTGTGTTGGCCATCGAGTTCAGTGATATAAGAATAAAACTTGTGCACCATGGTAAAGTATAATTCCATTATGGATAAAATTTGTTTAGATAAAGTCTCACAGTGTTGTACAGTAAGTAATGTTTACTGGTGACAACGTTTCGAGCACAATTTATTACTGCTCATAATCATATCAAGGTACTCACACAACTTTCTAACTTCATTTATATAATTCCATGATTTTTCATCCTGATTTGATTGGTAGTAGTATTTTCCATATTTCCGGTAGGAGTGATGAGTCATTCTTATTGTATATGTTGGGTATAGACTCGATGAACAAAGATTCAGTAATCAACCTCCCTCTACACCTACCTAGATTACTTTTTAGAATTTCAGCCCTCTCTCCCCCTATTGTGTGGTTGTGTAATAATGCATGCATTGCAAGTGCTGAGCTTTTTTCGAAATTACTTATCTTTTCGGGGTCAACTATTCTTGCCTTAGCTAAATTCTTATGTTCCGACAATCTGACTACCCCTGACCTATTAGTTTAACCTGTGTAGTTGACCTCACTCACAGTCCTTGCAGGGTATTTTGTAAATTATATTATTTTGTCTAATCGGGTCAACAGACAGGCTCCTTTAACCTACAGAGCTTATCTTACCTGAGTGAGTTTGTAGGTTTAAATGCCACTCTAATTCCTGCTTTATTCAGAATCCTACGTAGGGTCTTGGATGTCCCCCTACTTATATGGTATAACAGTGGATGACTTATATTCTCTCTTATTTATGTTATCATTACTAGTTTCATAATTATTTTTATTTCGCTTTTGGCCTTTACTGATCTTCCTAATGAATTTTATAGGGTAGTTATTTGATACCAACGCTTCTTCTATCTGTTTAATTGCCTCATTTAGATCTTTTTAGTACTACTTAGTGCTACTGCTCGGTTTGTCAGTCATATTTGCAGCGTATTCACTAAGCTAAGAGACTCATCAGTGAGGTGCACTCTAAACTAGTATTAGACGGTCAGATGCAATTTTAGTAGGTAATCCAAGACCTAAGTTTTGTGCTTTTCATCACTTCGAAAAAAAGCTGACTCCATTTACCTGGAACATATCCCTCTTCCCATAACAGGTTACGAGTTACACATATATTGTGTCGAAGTTGATGATACTACCAACCAGTTAACCAACCAGACTGAAGTAAGCGGAAAGGGGGATTCGAACCATAGACCCCTTGGCTGCAAGTCGATTGTTTTGGGCCGACGAGGAACTTCAAGCAAGGTGCATACACATCTACAACCTAACAGGAATTAATGTCAGATAGAAGACTGAAACCCTGAGTACCGAGTTGAACATAAGGCTTCAAGCTGGAGCTTTGAAGTTTCCGTAGGAGTGCTTTTTTTCGCTTTTTACTGGGTGAGGTTGCTAGCCTCACACATTACCTTCCTACCTCTTCATCGGACTTACTGTTAGCTAAGCGGTGTTAAGGAGTGCGTCAGTCGAGGATCGAGCCCCGGGCCAAATAAGTGGTTGGCAAGGAGTATTTTTTCCGAAGAACTATCGATGCACAGTCAGTAACGACGCTACCGCAAAGTTATTTGGGCCCGCAACTGCCTCTAACTATCATCACTCCTTAAGGTGAAGAGCAAGTTCGCTTCTTTTTACTCTCTCTCTCTCTCTCCATAAAACTAGTGACAAATACACACAAAAAAAATATTTTTTAAAAACAATCACATTACCTTTATGTATAGGATGTGCTGTAAGTATTTTACATTCAGTTGATGGACATATGGTATCCAGTTGACGAGAGCATGTTCGAATTTGATTCACTAAATCAATATCTGCTTGATCATAACATCTGGCTGGAATTGGTGGTCCTTTATTTCATGATGCATTGCGAACACACACAAAAAAAAGAAACAAAGGAACCTTCAGTAGGATATATAATGGGTTAACGTTAACATAAATAAATATAATGTCGATAGAGAAAGAAAGAAAGACTAGATTTGCAGTATAAAATGATACCATCATCATTCTATTTCACAGGTTCTCATCAGGTAACTGCAAACCACTACCTGAAATTACAATGGTTATAAATAATAATAACATTTCATACTTCATTGTTTGAAAGGTAATAGAGAAAACATTACGAGATCGCCTTGTAACCAGAAGGTCCTGGGTTCGAATCCCGGTGGGTGCGTACTGCCGAAGAGTCCCAAACTAGGACGAAACAGCTTTCCAGTGCTCCCAGCTGGTTTTCCAGTGGTTCTCTAACTGATGTCAGCTCATGATTAAATCCTCCATGCAATCAAACAAAATCCCTGCAAAACCAATACTTGAAAACATTATAAGGCGAACGCATCTGGAATATAAGTATTGTAATTTATAGTTTAAGCAATAAAGAAATGCTTTCCTACAGCCAATCTGGTGACACTATACAGTACTACATGCTCTATAAGGCAATCGAGACTGGATAAGTACCCTGCTGATGTTACCTCCAACTGCATTTATAAATTTACGTGCACCTCCTGAGGCATCAAGTACATTGGAAGGACAGAAAGAAGGTAGGGATTCTATCCGGTTTTCAGAGCATATTCTGAGAAACTCATGCTTAAAAGGAAGCAGATATTTACAAAGTGCAATTACCAGACACCTTGTGGATACGGGTAGTTTTGTCGAGATTTCCAAATCCTTCAAAATATTAAACATACAAAAGACAGCGAATCTACTACGATTTACTGCTGAAGCAATTGCAATCAAACGTCACAGATCAAATTCATGCACACAGAAAGAGAGTGTAGTCAATCTATTACTCCCTTGGTAACCATATCACTTTCATTACACTGATTAGTCATACACACTAGTGGGCTCAACTCAATAAGTAAGTTTTGAAATGAATGAACTTTGACCTTCTTGAGTTGCCATGTTGACACTGTTTATTAGATTTTTTTCTGTTTTTGTGTCTTCTCTCACCTTCCCCCCCCCACTTTTTTCTTTTTTCATAGTTTGACAGCATATAAATTGATGGTAACTTAAACTAATAATAGTTGTAATACTTATATTCCAGATGCGTTCGCCTTATAATGTTTTATTGCATGGAGGATTTAATCATGACCTGACATCAGTTAGAGAACCACTGGAAAACCAGCTGGGAGCACTGGAAAGCTGTTTCGTCCTAGTTTGGGACTCTTCATCAGTACGCACCCACCGGGATTCGAACCCAGGACCTTCTGGTTACAAGGCGAGCTCGTAGACCGTTGAGCCACTGGGACCCGATCCAATGGTCCTTGAATTCTAACTTCTGCCAATTCACGACATAGCGCGACCACTTCGCAATGTCTTCTTCTTCTTCTATAGGGTACAGCAGGTTGGAGATGAGGCAGTAACTGCAACTCTACGAATCATAATTAAACAGAGCATTGAGTATCAGTAAAATCTCTACCTCAACTTTATCGACTTTGAAAAGGCCTTCGACAACGTTGACGCCAAAGTGATTTGGAAACTACATCAACACTGCAGAATTCTCCAAACATTTGTCAGCCTCATTCAGTAGCTGCATGATGATGCCGCACATATCAAGTGATTCACAAAGAAAATCTCAACAAAACCTTTGAAGAGAAGATAGGAGTAAGACAAAACCACCCACTGTTACCGATAATATTCTTAACTGTGGTGGATAGGATCACGTTAAAGACTATGAGGAGCAAAGAATACAATAATATGTTGAGCAAATAAGAAAACTTTGGAAGATATGTACGAATGTTACACAAACTCGAGGGCCTACAAGCGAGAACCAACAAGTTGGCAGAAGAGGCAACCAGGAAAAGACTTCAGTTGAACACTAAGTAAAACAGATGTGATGAAGGGAACCAACCAACAGCAAGAAGCACCAATCACTATCAACGGAAAAAAAAATTTGAAAGAGGTCACTTCTAATTAATCTAGACAGAGAATCGTTTCAACTACAGGCTGTGCGCACGTATGAGAATGTCAAAGGCAAGGAACGTTAAGGCAACAGACAAACCATCACAAATCTACTGCAATCAGAACAACCAGCAAGATTTGAATTTTCAACAATAATGTCAAGTCAGTCAGTCAGTTCATCTTCTATGTGGATCAGAAACTTGGCACACACGCGTCACCAAAAGCATTTCCAACAAGCCACTTCCGACTTTCACCAACAGCTTTCCTCATCGCTATCTGTATTCTGTGAAAATCAGACACTTGACCAAAAGGAATCAGCAACAAGGAGTCTGGAAAGAAACCAATCAAAAACTTGATGCTCAACAAATATGCCACAAAAAGAAAGTGTAGATGGATCGAAAACACAAATGAGGAGGCCCTCTTGAGTGACACCACGCGTAAGGCCATCGTTCCAGTGGAACTCAAATTGGTAACAACAAGTCGTGTGTGGGTCTGATGGTGACGTGTAAGAGATTATCTGAGGAGGAAACAACAACTTATAGTCAGCCAACCGTGGAATCAGCATGAAAGGACTGCAGAGAATAGGTTGAAATGGAGATGTGCCGCCGAAGCTTTCTCTTTCACTAGGACGAAATGCAGAGTCTTCTAAACACCTTGAGCCGCAATCTGCGAATGTTTGGCATGCGATTCGCTCCCGCCAAATGCAAGATGATGTTACAGGACTGGACTACATCGACGCCTAGTTTAGAAATAGGAAGGAGTGAAGTGGTAGAGCACGTTGACCGCTTCACTTATTTGGAAAGTACCATCAGCCAGTGCCAACGGGTTGATCTCTGACGAAATCTCAGCACGAATACAAGGGGTTCGTTTCGCATTTGTTAGTTTACGCCGTCTCTGGCGTAAACGTGATATCTGACTATCGACCGAAAAGCAGGTGTACTGCACATCGGTCCACTTCGTCCTCCTTTATGGTTGTGAGACCTGGTCACTGAGAGTGGAAGAGATGAAAAGACTAGCTGCCTTTGATCATAGGTGCCTGCGTTCTATTTCCCGTGTAAAGTGGCATAATAAGGTGAGCAACATGGAGGTTAGGCGTAGAGTTCTAGGTAAACAGGTGAAATCAATCGACGAAGTCGTGAAGCTACAAAGACTGAGATGGTTAGGACATGTGTTGCGTATGCCAAGCCATCGCCTCCCTCGACGAGCAATGTTAGCGGATATAGGGTCAGGCTGGAAAAAAGCTAGCGGCGGTCAAACAAAAACTTGGCACCAGTCAATCAAATCCACAACAGTTGGTCAAAGCCACGTAGGACGGTGTAGACTCCCAGGTTGGGGTCCTCGGGACGGTAAGAACCAATGGTTGGAAACAATTGGTGATATGGCTCAAAATCGTTGTCAATGTCTGGTGCAGATTCATCCACTCCTTGTGACTTATGATCTCCAATGAAACTGTTTTGTATTTCTTTATTACTCCTTTGTCTCACACCTCTGCTCACTGTTTCTATTATGTTTTTCTTGTACTTTCTTCTCTTGCTTCGCGTGCTACACGGAATGTGGCGACTTGAACTGGTGCACATCTGTGCAAAGTTCTATGTCGAAAACGGACAGACAGACAGACAGTTTCACCAGGAACAGAAGAGAATATCAATAATACTCATCCATATTCATATAAAAATTAAAATTTGAATATCTTTGTTTAATTCGATTTTAGATTTTCCCGTCGATTGATTGAACCGAAGCGCTCGGTCTCAGGTTGACATGTCAGCGGCTTCTTGTGCAGATACTTCGACAATGTCTGGGCACGTAATTAGAGGTTAATTCGTGGGTGGTGACTAGCAGTGGAACCCACGATGTCCTATTTGGGACTCATCCTCCACAGCTGGATGTACCTGCATTCCCCAAGGAGTGACGACGTTCCCGCCGAGGCTCGAACCCAGGAACATCACCACTCACTTGGAAATGCAGGTCCATCCAGCTGGAGGACGAGTCTCAAATAGGACGAAATAGGATTCCACTGCTAGTCACCATCCACCAATTATCTGAAGATCTTTCTTAGTTTAACCTTCTATTTTACCTTATTTTATACCAGTTCATTGTTTTCAATTTATTTTTCTATGCTGATTTGATAAGATTTTAGTTGGTTGTGTGTGTGTGTGTGAGTGTGTATTTCTGTGTTCATTAATTCTTTTGTTCTTGTAATTATAATAATATTATTATTATATATTATTGTGAGTCAACTCACAAAACAAAACTAGTAGTTCTGTCCTATCTCTCCACCCACCCACCCACCTACACACACACACACACACACAATAATGCACAATATGAATTCATTAAAAATGCTAATACACATATAACATATATCGTCTATATCAAATGATCACTATGACAATAGAAATGTGTTTAGTATGCATGCACTGTTTGGCAATACAATACACATTTGACACCTTCTTGTTTTACTTTTGTCCATCGTGTTTTCTCTTTTCTAGTGTTTGTTTGTGTGTGTGTGTGTGCATGTGTATGTATCTGAGTATTGGTAAGACAATTTTTAATGTAATGCAATTTGTTTTTACTCTGTTCTCTAATGTGAGCTTAGTCATCAAATAAGTAGACGTCTCTCTCTCTCCGTGTGTCTCTACCGTTACATTATGTTGGAAATTTTCGCCTTGAGCTGCAATCTACGAATGTTTGGCATGCGATTCGCTCCAGCCAAATGTAAGATGATGTTACAGGACTGGACTGGACTGGACTGGACTACACTGACCCTAGTTTAGAAATAGGAAGGAGTGAAGTGGTCGGTGGAGAGTGTTGACCACTTCACCTATTTGGAAAGTACCATCAGCCAGTGCCAACGGGTTGATCTCTGACGAGATCTCAGCACGGATACAGAGGGCTAGATTCGCATTCGCCAGTTTACGCCGTCTTTGGCGTAAACGTGATATCTGACTATCGA